AAAAAGATCTATAAAGTATGATAGAGTAATAATGTTTGACATATTTAGGCAAAACAAGAATCAAATCTTAGATAAAATTTCCATGCACGTGCAATTGAACGAGCATAATTTGATCAGCTCATTGTGGCTGCAGATGGCTTACCTAATAACGACACTACCAAAGTAAAAATTTACAAATAGCAGCTTAACCCTTGCGTTTTGTGGAGCCACTTGTTTACATCATAATTTAGGCACAGCCAAACCGAAATGCATTCAGATATTCGACACAATGATTATGTGCACTGTGTTCATGTGGCCAATCTTGGAACTTCTTAAAATTATTCCATAACTCTGCTTACTGTGTTGCATGATGCCTGTCACAAATGACCAAGCAATTCTCTAACCATAAAATGCAGTAATATAAATTACAATAAGCTGTCTAAACAATTTCAACACTGAGATTTGAGAATCACCCATACTAATAGAGTAATACCTTAAATTCACTTAAACCAACGCCCATCACTTACCGTGTAGATATCATGTAAGTCAATATAAAGATGTCTTAAACAACCCAGAGAATATTAAACGTGAGCACGTTGGTATCCATACATAACGTTTTCTTTTCTTTTTTATGCTATTTAAGCCTAATTTCACAGAATCTGCAAGCATGTAGGTGCTTAGAGAATTGGTGCCACAATACATTAATTAACAAGCAAAATCTAGAACTTAAATCTGGAATGATAGAAGTCGAAAACCCACGTAGAAATTCAAAAACCTAACATTCATAACAGTTGTTCGCCGAAACTGACAAGGTAAAACAAAAAACAAGAGTTTCACATAAACAAAGCGCCACAAAATCGGCGCATTAATACCACAATGCAACACAAAAAATAAAAATAAACCTCAAATTCAAAGCCAAAAATAGGAAAATTATACCAGAGGAAAGCTTACGAGTTGTACATCAACGATCCGGCAATCTGAAAAGCGAAATCTGAAAGTCGGCAGAAAAAGCCAAAAAAACCATAGACAGATAATTGAATCCAGGAGAAAACGAAGAGAAATTTTATTGCAGAGAAAAAAGAGGAAACAGTGTAAGGTGTAGAGTACTAGTCTTCTAGTGGGGCGTTGTTGGCGACAGCCTGTCTCCAGCGAATAAATCAAAACTGAACAAATTTATTAGTATTTATATTTGTCATCTTATTCTCTATGGTCATGCTTGTGATTATTGTTTTTTTATGTACGGATTTAAGTATTTAATAAAGGGATTATGGGTATTTATGTTGGACTAAGGAGACAGGCTGTACACAGCTGGATCTATGAACGAGGCTGGAGGCTCGGGTGTTCGAGTCTAGCTAGAAATGTGCACGTGTTCTGTCGTGCGATCCTTTGCAATGACGTTTACTGAAAGTTCGTGGGCTGAGGATAAAACTGTCCTCAAAGCATAAATGAGATAATGTCTTTGCAATCCAACGCTTAAATGGCAAGAATAGAAATACCTTTTACCTAAAGCTATTGTAGCCCAAGATCTTGTTACGTTGATGTTGAGTCCAGGAGAACAATTTCGTGTTAAGTCCAAGTTTATGTAAGTATGTTAAGTGGGACGAATTGTCAAGCAGCGAATCATTCGCAAGAGTTAGCTTGTGAAAAGGACGAGCGATTCGCATTTTAGATTAAAAATACAATTTTTGCTAGTCGCGCGATTCCCCCCCATTTAACATCCCTAGGAGCATGGTTCAAAATAAGCATGCTCACAAACTAGTGTGAGAATACTTCTAGAGGTGACAATGGATCAAGCCGACTTTGCCCATCTACCCAAGAGCTCGGCTCGTGTTCAAGGGCCGAGCCAAGTCTGGCCCATGAGCTCGTGAGCCACGAGTTGAGACAAGCCAAGTCCACGAGCTCAATTTTTTTTTTTTAATTTTTTCCCCCCTTTTTTTTATGAGCTCACGAGACAAGGGGTCATTCGCCAGTGGAGCGAGCCGAGCTGGTTTTGACTCACCTAGCGAGCAGGCCCGCTCGACTCAAGCTCATCCAAATACAAGCCAGAGTCGCTCGGCTCGATTGCCACTCCTAAGTACTTCAATTTTTGGATAAAAAATAGTTTTATAATTAGACGTTCTTAGAAGTTGATGAGTACTCTATATGTAATCGGACTTATTTAAATTTCAAGAACATGGTATCAACAATCAATTCGCGTAAATCCTAATTACATATGAATTTTATAGTTTATGAGATTGATGTATACTCAGAACTTGACAAATATACATGATCATGTAGTGCTCACTTCAAGATTTAAAGATGACGATCAGCATTTTCCTTTTTCTTTTTCTGTTTTTTTATTGGAGATTATTTGAGCCCCTTTATTTGGCATTATAATGAGATGAATAGTATTTTTTTTGAAAAATGAGTAGTTGAAAATTTTTTAATTTACGTGTAATATTATTTTATTGAAAATTGTGTAGTAAAAAGTATGATAGAAAATTTTTTAATTTAATGTAATGAGAAATAATGGGCTCAAATAGGGCTATATGTATATCTAACGTCCATTTTACTATTGTAGTTAGACATTTCTAGACAAGTTCAAATGCCATATAAGATTATTGAAAATTTAAATATAACTAATTCGACCAGTGATTGTCATGTACGCAAAAAATAGAATTTATAGATTACTTATAAATAAAAACAGAATTTACAAATCTCTTATTAAAAAAATTAACTTTTAAGTAAAAAAGTTGCTTCTAAGTGAAAATATATTACAAATCACTTCAAAATTCACTTAATACCCCAAGTATAATTATAGGAAGCCTAGGGCTTTTTCTACAGGGTTTATACAGAAGCCCTCACTGTAGCGAGGGCCCCACATGTATAAAAAAAATAAAATTAACGCGGACCCCACCAATGTGAGTACTTGTAAAATATCTGGCAAAAATAACCTGTACATGTAAGGTGGTTGATAATTATAAGTATAAAAAGTTACTTATACATAAAAAGAAAAAACCACTTATATATGAAAACTTACAAGTACAAACTTTTATCTTATCGGTGACCTTAACTTGTTAGTAAAAATCCATTTTAAGTTAAAATTAAATTAAATTTTTAAATTTTAAACTACTTATAAATGTACTTATAAACCAAAAAATAAATAAATTATTTTATGAGTAAAAAAATTCATATGAGAAGTTTTTTAAAAAAAAAAAATTCACTTAAAAAAAAAACTGTTATCATAATTTATTTAATTTTTAATTAATTGTACCATTTCTCTAATCGAGTGTAACATCAAATACCGAATTAAAACTTAAAACAATCATTACTAATTAGCTTAATACAATCCTCAAGTCTTCTCTCTCTTAATCTTGTCATCACTAATCCAATCAACAAATTAATCATTATAAATTAATTGTAATACAAATTAAATAAGTAGTTATTTTTAATTAATTTGACATAACATAAACTTTATCAACGCCATCAAAGGGGTCCAATTGTTTTGCTCCGACAAATCTTTAACATTAAGGTAAAACAAGATTTTCTTTGGACCACTCCACCATATATTAGCATTAATAGTCGAATATGTTTCTTAGGACATGACTTGCCAATTCGAATTCTCTAGAACACCTTACTAATTCTTATTATTTTAATAAATTAATCAATATGTGCTAGTGAATTATGTTGAACAATGTAAAAATGTAATTTTTAATTTATTTTTTAAAATATAATCCACTTTACGTGTCAAGACGTAAGATTTCAACTATTGAGCAATTATCGTTTACTAGTATGGGTGTGCAAATTACCTGTCTAATCGATACAAACCATCCAACTGAACCAACTTGGATCGATTTCGATAAAGGTTGGCTAGAATTTTGAATTGGCTAAAACCAAGTTGAAAACCTCAATTTAAGGGGTTGGGGTTTAAAATTATTTGATTTTCAATATGACAAATCGAACCAACCAAACCCACTCAGGTTGACTTGAGTCGATTTAATTTCAAATTAGAATTTCACCTAACACGAATTGTTGATTCGATTGTCAAGTTGAATCCGATCTTGACCCAACTTAATCTATGTCCATCCCTGTTCACCAGTCTAAATTGTTGAAAATTATCCATAACATAGGCAGCGTGAAGAAATCTTTCTTTTGTTATTTCTTTTGCTTTTTGTGCTTGTTTTTGTCTTAATGACAAAATATTAGCCCCCATTTGAGCCAAATTATTGTAAAAATGAGAATGAAAAATATAGTCGTTATGAGTCCCACACAAGAGATAAAAAATCAAATATGATAAATTGATGTGATAGATAACGATCATATTTTCATTTTAATGAGGAAATAATGAAGCTCAAACAGGACCTAGTCTTAAGATGAATGATGTGACAACTATAACATTGAAATGTCACGCTATTGTAAGCAACAATAGAGCGAAATCAACACGAATAAGAATAGATCCCTTGAAATTTCACGAACTAATGTCAAAACTCAAGACTATTCCTCTCGTAATGAAAAGGATAAAAACTTTTGACTCTCCATGCAGAATTCACAGGTTATACTATTCGATCTAGCAAATAAAGATAAAATGGTTTGGTATCTAAGGTGTAGAGGATTAGGGTTCGAACATTTCCTTTCTAGATATACATAATCCTTTCGACGCTTCCAATGAAATTAACAAGGACAAACCTGGAGTCATGGGAGACAAAACAGAAAATAAACATGAGAAAGAATCTCTTTGAGACATGCACAATAGTAACTCGATGAAGTGACCTCATGGGTGCCCTTGATTGAACACCCTAGTACGGTGTGTGTGTCTATGTGTGTGTGTGTGTGTGTGTGTGTGTGTAGAGAGAGAGAGAGAGAGAGAGAGAGTAAGACTCATCCAATTGCATTCACAAGAAAGCCTCAAACAATCAAGAAAAATTAAGCATCTGAATAATACAGGGATTTAAAATAATAGATAGCAAAAAGGGGAACTGAAATGACAAGATAATCAGGGACCAGGGGATGCTGGGTTAAGACCATTAGGATGCGGAGCAGCATGCATTCTTTGTGGGGGTCTCCTGGGGTCCAACAACAAGGGTCTTCCCTTCTTTGAGGCTAGCAGGTGCTGACTCATCTGAGGAGAGTGGCTTCTTACTAATTTTCCGATATATTTCCGAAAGGATCGTTTGGAAAGCATTCTCTACATTGGTGGCTTCCAGAGCAGATGTTTCCATGAAAGAAAGGCCTTCTTTTTCAGCAAAACCTTGAGCATCCTCTGTGGCAACAGCACGAAGATGCTTGAGATCGGTCTTATTTCCTATAAGCATGATAACGATGTTGGAGTCTGCATGGTCCCTCAGCTCCTTCAACCACCGACTCACATTTTCAAATGTAGTTGGTTTTGTCACATCATATACAAGAAGAGCTCCCAAAGCACCCCGGTAATATGCGCTTGTTATGGCTCTATACCTCTCCTGGCCAGCTGTATCCCATATTTGAGCCTTAACGGTTCTTCCCTCAACCTTAGGAGTAAAAACAAGTAAACAAGCACAGCACAATAAATAAAATTCAGGTTCCTTTTCAACTGAATGGTGGGAGCTAAAGCAAAAAAATATCTATCAAATATTTCGATATTATTAAGGATACAACAATATAGAAACGATGATAATAGAGAATTTCTTATTATTATAAGCCCACATCAAGATTACGTCCCAAGATCATCTTTTTGCTTCAGTGATGAACAACATTACAATACACTTCCAAGATGAGTCCGCTTTCTATGCATTTACATTTTATTAATATGTACGAGATCTCCAAAAACATCCTCGTCTTCTAAATTAAGATACAGATGGGCAGACTATAGGATAGGGAAAGGGCACTGCATTGCTTATAGACTTTAAAACGCATCCCTCATTTAGGGACATCCAAATGGAAGGAGAATCCTTTCTTTGTGTGGAACAGGCAATGACTGAGTGACATAAGATAGAAGGAACTATGGTCTGGTAAATGTAATATAGCAAGATCATCAGGTTTATCAATCAGACCGGTCCAACTTCATTAAATCAAGAGCAGTACGATAACATTTCAGCAGTTAAGCTTTGCTAGCCATTCTGCATATCAAATTCTAGCAAATCAATATAGTGTGAAAAGTTGGTATATGGAGTCTTAATTATTTTATAATCATAATTAATTTAGCAAAAACAATGAAGTTTCCTTTTGATAAATTAGAAAACGAATTTTAAATATGCTTTAAAAGTTAGCAATAATAAAACCGTATTTAAGTTAAAATTATTAAAATCTCATCTTAACTTCCCGTAGAATTAATATAGGCAAGCACAACAGGTAAATCATCAAATCTACAACAGATCACCTTTCCAAATAACATCGCCACCAAACATAATTAACAGATCTGAAGATCCAAAACTAAGCCAACTAAAAGAATCACAATACAGAAAAAATTGACCACTTATTTCGAATTCAAGTAACATATAAACATTCAGTTAAGTAAAATTCAAATCCCCTGATGCGTGGCATCACAGGAGACATACTGATACTAAATTACTATTTTTGCATTTCCACATTGATGAATTCTAAAAATAGAAACAATAGTAGCAGCGAACCTTTAGGGTACGGGTGGCAAATTCAACTCCGATGGTAGATTTAGATTCCAAGCAGAACTCATTTCGGGTGAATCGGGAGAGCAAATTTGATTTGCCTACACCCGAATCGCCGATTAACACCGCCTTAAACAAGTAATCATATTCCTCGTCCGGTCTCCTCGCCATTTATATCTCTGAATTTTTCAATCTCCTGTGGAGTCGGTCTTCGAAATTAATTAAGAAAGTGCAGAGCAGTTCCTTTTGTTCAATTTAACGACAGATGCCACTGCCAAAACGGCTTCTTTTGTTCTCTTTTTTATTTTATAACAAACACGCCCCTCGAGTTTTGAGAATTTTTATCAACACTCTTAAAAATAAAAATAAGAGCAATGCTTCATTCATAGAATGAAGATTCACATAAATTTTATATATAAGACACAAATACGTGGGACTCACAATTTATTGTCAATTATTCACGCGTGGGACCAGATCTCCTCTCTCTTCTGACTCCATTCTATGATCAATTAATCTGTACAATCA